GCTCTACCACTGAGCCACTTTCCCAGCCCCTAATTATAGAATTTTTATGATGCAGCAACATTATTCCCAATGGGACATCTAGACTTGTAAGTCCAAGTGTTACCAAGAAAATTTTTAATGGAAAATAATATAGATATTAATAAAAATTTTTATTTAGCAAATACATAGGCTTGGGTGGTACTATTTAAATTGGCTTTGACTACTCATCTACTTATTAGGATACATATGTTTTAGAAGTCTATAAGCAAGTTGACTATGCAATCTGCTACTGACAAGACCAGCACTGATGGGTGTCATTATACAATTAGTGACTGCCATTGGAGAAGTAATTAACATAGAATGATTAATATTAATTAATATAGAGGTAATTAATACAGAGTAAATAAAATTAATAGTAATTAATAGAGCTAATTATTATAACATAATTAATGTTAACCAAGTAGCATTAATTAATATTAAACATAGAGTAACTAGTATCTGTTCATTGTTAAAGCCAGTATGTATTGAATTTCAGCAGCCACTGTGATTATGGAGTTTCTCTCTCAACCTATTGGCAATCAGCTCTTGACTATACCAATGAGCTCTTTTTAGAGTAATTAATTTCTCTGCAGAAATGTCTCTCCCTGCTTTTTTGGCAATGCTAGCATTTATTTGTGGAAAGGGCCAGTTACCGAATTCAGCTCCATCCATTTGAATCTTAGCCAGAGAGATCTTTAAAATAGATTTCCCTAATGGAGGAGGATCATGAAGCTATTGACTAAACTTAGTTTTGTGTGGTTGCAGTACATTGTAAGTAGTCAGATTCTCCCACTCCTTCACCTCTGTTATAAAAAAAAAATGGGTACACTAGCTGTTGATTGCTCAGTTTTCTGTGGAACTAGTAACTCTACTGCAAACTGTTATCCATCATAGGATTGTGCCACAAAAAGGGATATCTAAAAGCATCTAGATCCCAGAAGACTACAAGATATCATTGAAGGTGGTTTTGGTGAGAAGTTTATGTAATGAAGAGAGCAGTGTCTCCTGTGTTTCCCCTTCTAAGAGTTCGACTCTCCTTAGTTGTTCTTGACTGTGCTGCCAGAGGCCTTGACTTGGCCATGGAGCTTAAGTTCTGTATCTGTGTCATAGGTGACTGAAATGTGTGCTAATGGACAAAATATTAATAAATGGACCATAAAGGCCAGCACCTGCATGAGAGAAAAAGCAGGTCCACAAACAGGCCACCAGATCACCAGATAGAGTCTCCATCTGGGGCTTCACACAGGGGTCTGGCAAACTGTTTTCTGTCCTCATTCCCAGAGATCCTTATTAGTACTGACTAAGACCCCAATCCTACAGAAATGACCCACTGGGGTGTGATCCTTAAGGGAAATACTGTAGGGGAGTCCCACAGCTAGCTCTGCCATTTGCCAAGTGGCCACCTTGTCACTGGACCTCGTCCCACTCCATTATTTTACTTGGAGAGTAGATAACTAATTTTACATCCATGGATGTGTCCACGAAGTCTGAAGCATTCTCAGCTGCACAGTAGACAGGTTTGTGGAAGCTCTTGTTCATGTGTGCTACTAAAATTAAACTCACAATTCATGCTTCCTAAAAGTACTCTGTTTTATAAGTCAGGAAGATAAATATGTGTACTGATAAACTGTAATTTAAGTTAGATCTCTACCATGTTCTATTAAAATCCTGATATGATTGGTGGTGTTTCTGCCTTTGATAGAATTCAGGTAGAAAAAGTACAAATAAGCTGGGTGCCTGTGGCTCACGCCTGTAATCCTAGCTACTCAGGAGGCTGAGATCTGAGGATCTCGGTTCAAAGCCAGCCTGGGCAGGAAAGTCCATGAGACTCTTATCTCCAATAAACCACTAGAAAACTGGAAGTGGTGCTGTGGCTTAAGCGGTAGAGCACTCACCTTGAGCTGAAGAGCGCAAGGACAGCGCCCAAGCCTAGAGTTCAAGCCCTATGACCGACCAAAATAAAAAGGTACAAATAAATAAATAATCTAAGTAAACAGTAGTTTTAGAGATGGATCAGAATGTAGTAAGGGAGAGATTAATGCCATTGTATTGTCAATTTTTAAAAATTACAAAGATAAATAAAATATAGGCTCAAGTTACCTGGTGATAGCTCTAACTTTCCCTATGAGCAAATTTCCTAAAACCAAAGCAAAAATAATAAAATATTAAATGTAAAATATTAAAGAAACAATTATTTTGTACTTGAAGACTTCATTTATTACTACCTTTAATTTGGTGATAATCATACTCTAGCTGTTATTTTTATTAGCATCAATTAGTTGCACAAAAGCTTTAATTTTAGCATGCTTATTTGTGTATACAATAATACATCTTGATCAGAATCATCCATCATTCTCCCTCTTCCCTTCTCTTCCTTCCTAAACCCTTGTAGTTTTACTTTATTCTCCTTCTGTCCCCCTCTTAGTCCACTCCCACTAGTCCTGACACTCCAGACATGTTTCAATTCTAATCCTAGCATTCATATTTCTGTAGCTACCTTTTCTTATGTTCTGGGTGAAGTCTTTTTTGGGGTATATGTGTGAAGTTTTGCATAGAGAATTCCCCATAGATTCCTTTAAAGGATTATTTGTAAAACAATTACATTTATGACACTAGAGATCAGCTTCTCAGAGTTGATGGCACTGCAAAGAGCGTCTCCATGTCACTCATCCTCACCTCTTGCTCAAATTGGCTTTTGTTTCATTTAGATCCCTAGATATATCATCACGCTGCATGAACTCCTGGCTCACACACCTCATGAGCATGTGGAGAGAAAAAGTCTGGAGTTTGCTAAGTCAAAACTGGAGGAACTGTCCAGGTATGCAGAGAGTTTGTAATAAAGTCTTGTGATGGCAAAGCAGCAACTTAGTCTCCTTTGGGCACCTATTATGCATGTTTCAAAGATCAGGGAGTAAAATATAAACCCAATTCTCATATTCATCTTCAATTTAAATGTGGATCTGGATCATCATTCACTTTATTTACTTATGTATTTAACCTGTACTAGTGCTTAAAGTCAGGGATTTAAGCTCACATAGCTTTTTGTGTTCACAGCCGTTGCTCTATCACTTGAGCCATGCCTCTAGCCAGCATTTTGCTGCATAATTGCAGATAGTCTCTTGGACTTTTCCTCCTTGCTTGACTTTGAACCATGATCCTTCAAGTCTCAGCCTCCTAAGCAATGTTTTATAGCATGTGAATTTATGTAACTGAGATTAGGTAAAATTTGGTTTAAATTTGGAAATATTCACAATTTTCCTTCAAACTGGAAAAAATAGCATTCAGCTGCATTTTGCTATTCATATTTGGCAAAAGCTACAGAACTTAGAATTTACATTTCTTTTTCTTTTCTGTTTCCAATTGCTTTTCGTTTTGGTACCACTGGAGTTTGAACTCAGGCATTCATAGTTGCAGGCACTCCTCTGCTTGAGCCATGTCTCAGTTTCCCAGTTTGCATTTTTTGATGACTTTTCATTGTTGTTGGAAGTTATTTGTGTCTATGTTCCTTTGGATTATATGGGATAAATTTATTCTCTTTCTAAGGAGTACTTCAATGGAGCTAGCTATGTATAAAATGATAGGTTGTTTTCATGTTGCATGCAGAGCCAGCATTCCCAGGCTACTCACTGACGGCTGAGTTGTTTATCATTTATAATCATCTCACGTATTGACCTTGCTTTGGCCAATACACAAGATGACTGAAAATTCTCAGCATGTTCCATATGCTTTGAACTTGTACCAGTTTAATCAAAGCAAGTTCAGAATCAAGCTTCCTAGCTGAAGCTCTTCTTTGCTTATGCCCTGGGACAATAGCTAATATCTCTTGCTGTGATCCTGTCTGCATTGTGTCTGACAGGGTGATGCATGATGAAGTGAGTGACACTGAAAACATAAGGAAAAACCTTGCTATTGAAAGAATGATAGTGGAGGGCTGTGATATTTTGCTGGACACCAGCCAAACTTTCATCCGCCAAGGTAAGTTCTTGTCATATAGATCCATGACCTTTGGGATCTGTGTAGCAGAAGCAGGGATGCATTCTGGAGCAGGCCTCATTTAACTGTGTGATTGGTGCAGTTCATGGAGAACATCCTCATGGCCTTATCCGAGGCTGTGGTTGAGGCCCACCTCTGTGCTGTTTCTTTTCAGGGGCCATGAATAACAGCAACACAATAATAGTAAAGCACGAGTGGGATAGTAAGTTACACTCTGGCTGGACTCTTCTCCTCAGTGGACCAGACATTCTCTGCAGCTTCAAGGAAGACAGATCGGTTTGGCCAGTGGAAGTGGCAATGCAAGGTGGTGATGATATCCAGACAAAGGTCCAAGAGAAACTTGCGTACCTCAAAGCCCTTTCACATAAAAGTGAAGACAATGTCCGAAGTGAAAATAGCTGTTTCTTGTTTCCATTTCTCATCAGCACTTCTGGAGCAGCCCTATGACATAATTTCATTCAAGTGGTGACATCCGTTAGCAGATAGAATCTTTCCTGGTAGATCACTGACATGCTTTGGTCATGGTGAAGCTATTGTGCGTGGAGAGCAGGCTTTTGGGACATCACCCAGTAATTTCACTTTTGAAACGATGAAGATATTTGTGCCAGAAAGTGGAGAAGCAACAACCTGGCAGAGTACCTTCCTTCTCAACTGCTTTTTCTCCCTCTTCACATTATAAGAAGTCAATGACATCTCAAGTTCCTGTTAAGTGCTTAGATATTTTGGGAAAGCAGAGCATGTCCTTATAATGGTTTGGGACAATCAATATGCTATATTGATTACATTTACAATTTTGAATTTGGTGATGAGTGGAACATGAATTCAGGTCTCAAAGTAATCATTTTTGTGGTTATAACGTGCCAATGTCCTTTGAAGAGATTTGTCTACCATAGTGTGCTGCTAAAACCAGTTTTTTTTTATTAACCACATCAAAAAAGACATTGTGCTGTGCACATTAATTTTTGCACAGACTTCTTAAAATGTTTAATGCATGCCATTCTATTTTCCATTATTTATTTACAACAAGAGAAATCAAACATATGTTAGAGTTTGGAAGTATATTTTAGGAAATGATGTCGGTTCCCATTTTCAGCTATTTTTTCTTTAAATAATAGTGGATTGCAATGACAACATAGGGTTTTTGCAGTTCCACTTGGATTCTCTACACAGTGCCCCTTTCTTGGCTTTGTGCTTGCTAAATACTTTGTATTTGTACATTCACCTACCAGAAGCCAGGAACCTTGGGATATTTATAAGGGCCATTTGGATACTTAAAATTCTATTCACAGGCCATACAAAATTATCAACACGGGCAACCAATGAGAAGTATATGAAATGTGTGTGTGTGTGTGTGTGTGTGTCTTATAATGTACCAAATGATTTTGACTGAGTATTCCAACCCTTGATATCACTTATGTGCCTAGGGCAGGTCTTAACAGGCTTATGTCAGATACCTTTAAGAGCCTTTTGTAAATCCTTCCACTTTCTGCCCATCCTCAAGTTAACATGAATCAACCTTCCTTTCCACTTCCAATATCTTTTGCTCTTGGTGCATGGATTCTGTCATTCTCTATATAGGTATCTGTCTGCATGCCTTTCTCTCTATGAGCTCCAAAGGGCAGTATTTATGAATTCTTTCTGCTTCAGCTTGTCTAGAATGATGTTTACGTTATAGTTGCCTGTACAATGGGCAATGAAGTAAATTGAACTATTTATTGGATTGTAATCTGTTTGTAAGTTATAATATTTTATTTTTTATTTGCTACTTTTTCTTGCATCTGGAGTTCACCAAAGATGCCTATTAACTTACTTGTATTTTATAATATGGGAGAATGGAAACACAAATTTCTCTCATGAGCATGTAACTTCTAAAGGACTTTTGGTTTGATGGTGTAATTACCCATAAACATTTAATATATTTCTTAGATTGTACAAGTGAGTTTGTAAATGTACCAATACTAAGAAATGTTGGAATGTTGACATGTCAAATACATTGAATGTTTTTTTTATTGCACTTGGAGAAAAAACAATCATGTGTCACTTAAAGTCATGTCCATATGGTATTTATTCCTTATTACATATCTTATTTAAGGCACTCTTTGAGTTTTTTATTGTTTCTTTCTGGTGTTACTATATTAAGGTCAATATGGCCATTTGCCTTTCAGCAGTATTTTTCTGCATGCTTGATCTAGTTAGTGTGTTAGTAATCATTCAATAAAGGTGTTTCTAAATGCTGGATGCTCATCTGAAAGTAGAAAGTGCTCAGTTATAGACAATTTAGAAAGTTTGCACTGTTTTGGGAACTTCTCTTCAATTTTTTCACTGCTGGGTGGAATTAAGAAGAAGGCATTAACCAGGCCTGAAGGGCATTCTGTAAAAAAGGCAGAACTCCTGCTGTAGGTGAGCCCCAATTATTAGATAAACTGGTGATCTGGATGCCAAGAACCAGGCCATAGGAATGGTTTGATGCTAAGGAATTACTAAGTCAATACCATCTCTCTATTTTGTATTAACTAAAGTGGAATCTTTTCTTCAAGTTTCCTGGCTGTGCTGAAATATAAATGTCAAACATAAAACTGAATGTTAAAACAAGTCTCCATAAAATTCTTTTAACAAATATTTAATTTTATAATCCCATTCATGTTGAAACTTACTTTTAATTCATATAGAGTTTTGTCCATACATAGTATATGTAGTTATAGATGATACACATTAATGTGTGGTTGCCAAGGAAATGTTTATTTTTTTAACCTCAAAGTGGAAATTCACAGTAATTGCTAATATGTATGCTAGCAGTGTATTTTGTAATTTCTGATTTAGAAAATTACTAAATTGCTAGATGCATTTGTCAATGAGCTCATTATTATTGACTTTTTACAGACCTGGTTATTAGTTTTCTGAAAATGGCAGTCTAACCCATTTGTCTACCCAGACATGGGCCTAATCTTGTCCTTCAGTAAGCCTAACTAATCTACGTGGAAGACTCGGGCTCAAGGCAGAATTGTCATTGTCTTAGGCCATCCTTTACCCTTCTAAGTCTTACTTTCTTATGCTGTTAAATTCACTTCCGTATCCTAACGTGGTTCCTTAGATGGGGATGATTTGGGGAGAGCTACTTATTATGTCTCTGGCCTCAGTTTTCCCACATGGAAAAATGGAGAAAGGATTAAATTACGCCTTCTGAAAAACTTCTGGCTTTGACACCATACTGTTACTCTTGTGAGGACAACTTATTAACTTTTCTAACTTTTTGCCTTCTGCTTCCTATATACCTCCTCTACATTTTAAATTTAATTCTGCGAGTTATATGAGTTGTCTGTCAGTTTGCTCCCACCTATGCTGCCTCCTCCATCCACTCCCTTCTTGTCCAATCACTTCCCTAGAGCTTTCTCTTGGCCCTTTGTTCCTCACTCTGGTTGCCACCCCCAGGCTGGTTTTATGCTATTCTTTGGGCCCAGAATAACTGCCTACTCTCTGTCTGTCATGCATCCCACCTAAACACTCAACTAAATAGATTATATGAGATCAGGGCATAGACCTTTAGTCCTTTATCACCCAGCACATTTTTTTTCTACCTTGTTAAGGGTAGAAGCCATTTGGAAAACTCATATGTGAAGATTGTGACTCACAATCACAGTTTTATTGTCTTACGTATGTATGTTCTTTTTATAAAGAACTTCGATGTTTTCCCACTAATAGAAGTAATCTGTGCTTGTTTAAAATATCATGAAACTTCAACACATATGAAGAAGAAAATAAAATTGCTGCAACCTCCTCTCTTAGTGATGACCACTGTTAAAAGTTAAGGGCTGAATATATGTATATATATATATATATATATATATTTATTATTTATGTAATGCTTTTTAAAATTATGCCAGTACTGGCTTTCAACCAGAGGCACTCCATCTCAATTGGTTTTTTAGCTCAAGGATAACACTCTTCCACTTGAGCCATGCTTTCATGGACTTGGAGATGAGAGTCTCATGGATTTTTCTGCCCAGCCTGGTTTCAGACTTCAATCCTCAGATGTCAGTTTCCTGAGTAACTAGTATTACAGGCACGAGCAACAAGTGTTCACCCCATTTAATGGTTGTTATGAGGTTGAAAGAAGCTGGTGCATTTGGGGTAGATCATGGATTAAACAAATACAAGAAATATTCCCTAGGAGACAAGTCTAAACCCAAGGCATTTTCCAGGAATCTGTCTTCTTACTTTTGATTTGATATTTAACAAAGATTAGAATTTTATTTTATAGGGCCATGGAGGTTATTATTAGAGTACAGTCTAAAAGATACTAGAAGTAATCTTGATATTATATAAAGTATGCCCATTAACTTCTCATTTCAAATGAAAGATAGCTCATGTGAGTGTTCTGCTTTTATGTGGTTTATTACACAAAGAATTTTTATCATACATAATTTCTTTTTATTAGTGTATATTTATACAAAGTAATGGTTTCATTGATTCACATATAACTTAAATGCAACTGTCCTTTTAAAACTGGTCCTTTAAAAAGAGCTGTTCCTTAGCTGGATTACATAGAAATATGTAACTCATGTATTTTTTATAATATGTGTGCATTATGCCCTCTTTTAAATCAAAAGTATACTCTAATCATATTCTATTTATCTATTTTCATTGCTTCAAGGAGAATAAATTCTATATGCTTTTATGTAACTTCAGAATTTGTATGGTATCATTATGAATGAATTTCCTGGTTTTACATCACTGAGGACAAGAGGAAGAAGTGCCTATTCTTTAAATTAAATTGACCTTTTAAACTTCTGTTTCAGTTTATAGATGAGAAATCAATTCTAAAGTATTTTACAAAAGGGAACACATCAATCTTAAATACAGTGTTTTTGTCTTCTCAGAGTGTGGAAAATATATTTGTTCTGATAGTACATCAAATAAATCCTTGGTATCTTAGGAAACAGGCCCCTTTGTTTATTTTCAAGGGCATAGTCCTCACTTGGCAGAACTTTAATTGCTATGTATTCTTCACTTCTGTAACCACCAGGTTCTCTTATTCAAGTACCTTCAGTTGAGAGGGGAAAACTTAGTAAAGTTCGTCTGGGTTCATTGTCTTTGAAAAAGGAAGGAGAGAGACAGTGCTTCTTATTTACAAAACACTTTTTAATTTGTACAAGAAGTTCAGGAGGAAAGCTTCATCTGCTGAAGGTATGGGTTTTTCTATAGTTATTCCATTTATTCTGTGTTCCCAATGGTTTAGAGGTTATCTCTATGATGACTTCCATGCCTTGCTATTGTCTTAAAACAGATGGCCATGATTGTACAAAGAGTGAGATAATGGATGGTTAAGAACTCTTTTACTTTGTTGTCATTTAGATTCGGAGTAATAGAAATTAATTGTAAGTGGACATTCTCATAACCAACTACAATTCAAATCATAACCTGGACAAAATTAGGACTAGTTGATGGTTACTACTAAAATGGTGTGAAAACATTATAGTGCTCTGATGGAATGTTTGCTCACTGCAACCTGTGGTCTGGAACTTGCTTCCCGTTTTTGTTAATAAAGATTCATTGAAACACAACCCCACTGATTTGTTTACAAATTGTCCTTAGCTGCTTTCATGTTAAAATGGTAGAGTTAGATAGTTGTGATAAAAATGAAATGGCTTTAAATTATTTCCAATCTGTATCTTTATAGAAAAGGTGTTTTTTTTTTTTCCTGGCTAAATGCTGTTACTATTGCCTATATATATTACTCAATGCTTCCTACTGACTTGGTGGGTTCAACTCTGTTGAGCTATCTTTGTTGCTATCTAAAGTCACCAGGATACTGGCCACAGTCCTGTAGATGGAGTCACTACAGTTTACAAACATTCATAACAATAATGGTATGCAAGGGAAAATTGAATATGACATAAATGAATTATTTTCTATTGATAGATCTAAGTTTGAGTTTGGACTCTGAAAAATGGTTTTGATTGAAGAATAACCATGCTTTCTTCTGTGGCAAGCCACAATAAGATTTACAAAGCAGAACTTCCCAACTTACACAGGATCTTTGGCCTCTTAATGACAAATTGGTTTGTTTCCAGACAGGTGGAGTTCTCTCTCTCATAGAGTGCACGTTGATTGAGGAGCCTGATGCAAGCGATGATGACTGTAAGTCACATTCTATTGCTCTGAATTAGGTTAGGATAAAAAATAAAATTCCATAGCTTGATTTTTTTTTCTAGTTTAAGAACTCCCAGGGGAACAGAAAAGATGTTGAAGATAAACTCCCTAAAGTCATTTGTCTGTTGGGCATTGAACCTGTGATCCTTGTCAAACCATCTCTGGGAGTTGATAGTCTCCTGAATTTGTGTCATGATAGTGACCTTTCTGTGGCAGGCACAGGGGAAAAAAAGAAAAGTTTAATTAAAGTATTAGATGTCTGTGCAATATGGAAATTAAACATGATATGAGAAGATTGGGATGTAGTCATGAATAGCTTACTGACCTCAGCTCTTCCATCTTCCATTATAAACTTAATAAGGCCTTCTCCATTTGCAAGAAACACACTATTGGTGAGAATCTAGACTTGAGTTTACACATACCATAATTTGGTAGCTATATGGAAGCAGATAGTACTCATATTTTATATTCATAGCTAATTGTTTGGTGTTTGTGTGTTGAAGCCAAAGGTTCTGGGCACATGTTTGGACACCTGGATTTTAAGATAGTGGTGGAACCCCCTGACGCTACCCCTTTCACTGTGGTATTGTTAGCACCTTCACGCCAGGAGAAAGCTGCCTGGATGAGCGATATCAGTCAGGTAAGGTGGCGGCATTTGCCGATATTTAACAATCACAACATAAATATCTAGTGAAGACTTTAAAGGTTATTATGTTAAGAAAAATGAAATCTAGTTGCTGTGGTCACTGCCACTAGTACTGTATGTCTTGTTGGGCTGCCATCATTTTGTTCTGATTTTTCTTGTTAAAGTTAATATTTACTTGAAACATAATAATTGCATTTTTGTTCCTGGGCAAATGTAACTATAGTGTTGAATAGTGTTGCAATTGTCCTGTAATAAGTTCTCCAATGACTGTATTACCTCTGTGCGTGTGTGTGTGTGTGTGTGTGTGTGTGTGTGTGTGCGTGTGCTTATCTATTTAAATACAAAAACAATGAGAGAAACAAAAAACAGAAAACAAGGGTTATGAGAAGTCATGCTTTAAGGAATTACAACATTCTGTGTGGAATATGAAATCTTCAACTGAGGCCTTGTATTTTATGTAGAAAAAAAGTTAAGGAACAGAATTGGTTGACTTTCCTGGATCAGAAATGTTCAGTCGGGAAGTTGTTGCATTTATTCAGGCAAAGATATTATTTGGAAATATATCAAAACTAGTCAGGACTAGACTTGAGCATTTCTGAATTCAAGTTTGACATGAATTTTGGCTCCATTCACTATTGTAGGGAAAAGTCATTCTGAATAACAAAAATATTAAAATAAGGCTTGAGCCGGGTGCAGCAATGTTTAGTCCCAGCTACTTCAACTGAAGGAAGAGGGGAGATTGAGTCCAGGAGGTCCAGAGCAGACTGGGCCACAAAATGAGATCCCATTTTAAAATAAAAAGAAAGAAAAAAGAGAAGTAAAGAAAGTCAGTAAGTCTTGAGTTAAATTACCAAGTTCACTTTTATAGTTGCTAAGAAGATTCATATTTATAAACTAACATGTACGACTATTTAAAGATAATTAAAATGGATATAAAATGAAGACTGGGGCTAATGGAAAAGGCGTTTTACTGGTTTTCTTTTCTAAAGAGCTCAGAATAATGTACATATAAAACCTAGGTAAAGAAGTAGTAATATAGTTATTTGGATATTTAATATTTTTGAATGACTGGCAACTGAAAGGAAAATAGAGAATGAATGGCAATAACGAGTGCTCTCTGTATCTCTGTCTGTCTCTCTCACATATTTAATAGAATTGTATTCTGAAGGGAAACAGAGGTAAGTGTTATTTCATATGTAAGGAATGTGAGATTTGGAAAGCTAAGCATTGTCAAAATTCATACAACTGTGTGGCATCAGGTCATATTTAAGCCTTCTTAGTACTCTAAATATCCTGTGTAAGAGAATCTTACGTGGAACTTGGCTTACATATCCCTGTTACTATTCTGATGCTGAATAAATAGCTAGAAGGGAAGCTGTATATTTTTCTAATAAAAGAATGACAATATCAAATCTTCCACAATTCTTCCATAATTCTTCATGCATAATTGCATTCTTTTTTTTTCTTTTTTGGGTCCAGTTGTGGGGCCTGAACTCTGGGCCTGGGCGCTGTCCCTCAGCTCTCAACTCAAGGCTAGTGCTCTACCACTTTGAGCCACAGCGCCACTTCCGGCTTTTTTCTTATGTGGTGCTGAGGAATTGAACCCAGGGCCTCAGGCATGCAAGGCAAGCACTCTACCACTGAGCCACCTTCCCAGCCCCATAATTGCATTCTTATGGTGATTTACTGATCCTTTCAGTAACACTTAGCTGCATCAATTAGTACTTCATTACATAATGCATCCTTGCCTTACGATACTCTCCATCATCCCCTGATTACATAAACACTTATTGAGGAAAGCTTATGTACTTCCAAATCTTCGCAGGTGCCAGGGTATTGCCATGGCTCCTACTCTCAAGACAGGCTAACTCATAGTGCAGAAATAATAGCTTCTCAACACCTATGCAATGTTGTTGTGTCAAGCTGTATACTACAGCTTGACACAACAACATTGCATAGGTGTTGAGAAGTTATTATCCACAGAAAGACTAGGGAGGAAGAAGAAACAAACATTTCTCTAGATGGTTCTACCTTCTTCCCTATGATATAACTGAAACTCCAAAGATTCAGGGTTGATAAGAGCCTCTGTGACCTTCCTTGTGGTGCCTGATAATGAACTGTGGAGAGAGAAAGACTCCTGGAGTGCAAGTGATTCTATGCCGGGTAAAGAAAGACATTTAAACTTTTGCCTGCTACGTTTGCTATGGCTTGGCAAAGCATTATACTAGCCTTTCACTGCAGTATAAGGCAGCTAACGAAAATTCTTATTGTTGTGAAAGGCAGTGATACCATTATGTGAAACTACTATCTTCAACAGAACATTGATATGGTACGGCTTTGACATTTATGGTTGTATTCATTCAACAAATATATTTGTGCAATGACACACTATCTGTCAGGCATTATTCTAACTACTTGTAACATGTCATAAGCAAAAGAAGGCAGCAACAATAAAGAATCCCTGGGCCTTGTATAGCTTGCATTATAATGTGAGATACTGCAAAAAATCATCAATAAATGTATTAAAGGAGTACATGCTATTTTATGGAGGCAGATGATAAGGTAACATAAAAAGGATTGGGCCATTCAAGGTGGGCTGGGCTTGGTATAGTTTTAGTCTGGTAACCTCATTCTGAAGGAGACATTTAAACAAAGACTAGTAGGTGATGCAGATGCCATATAAAGTTGTGATGAAGGGAAAGTCGCTGCAGAAAGAGAAGGCAGTGGCGACAAAGACCCTAAAGAAGGAGAATGCTGTCTGTTTGGAGAAAAATGTGAAAGCCAGTGTGGCTGAATTGCAGAGCCTGAGAAGAATAAAAATAGAGAGTTCACAGTGGTCAAGCCAGGGCTGAAGCATTTTAGCTTTTACTGGGTGAGAAGAAAGCTATTAAAGAATTTAAGCAAAGGAATTCTATGATTTGACTTAAGTCTTGAAAGGATTACTCACCTGTTGTGGTGAGAAGAGACAGAGGGTGGAGGGAAGGAGTAGATTCATGGATGTGAGGAGACGTTCTTGTAGCTGTCCAGGAGATATGTGCTGAAAGCTTACACCAGCTTGGCAGCAGAGGAGCTGGAGACAATGATTCTGTCCTGGGTTTGTTTTGAGGTAGGGCCAGCAGAGTTCTGTCTTAGGGCTGGGATATGAGAGCAAACAAAAGGTCAAGGATGACAAGGATGACAGCAGTGCTTCTTGCTTGAGCAACTGCAAGAAAAGAGCTGCTGTTTACTGATAGGGGATCATCTGCTGGGCAAAGTGACTGGGAATGAAAACTCAGCTTACATTTTACATGGTCAAGAAGTCTGTTAGACATCTGAGTGGATTTGTGAAATACACAGTGGAGCGTAATTGTATAGGATTTAGAGGAGAGGTCTAACTACATCATTAAGGCTTTGTCAAAGTTAGGAGATTATTAAAAACATTAAAGAACGAGTATAGAAGGGGGGCACATAATGAGAGAGAGGCCAGGAAAATCAGCAAAGAGGACTAAGAAAGAGCCACTAGGCCAGTAGGAGAATGGCCAGAGAGGGTAGCATCCTGAAAACCGAGTGAAGAAAATGCATCAAGGATGAAAAGAGTGGTTCTCTTTCAGCTTCTGCTAAAGGCTGGGTAGGGTTGTGAGTGTTCTGGGATACTTAGGGCTTTTCCCGGTGTGGGGTTTGAATGGTGGGCAATAGAGGCAGAATGCTTTGTTATTGGTTGAGCCTAGCCTGCTGCCCAGACACCCATAACTCAACAAGGTTCAGCTTCTGCTTAGGGCATTTTTGTTTTCTGAGAGAGATTGCATACACATTCATGAAAGATGTCAGCCTTTCAAGTATATCTTAGGACATATGAGAGATACATTTCAGTGAGATAAACTCACCGAATGCTTGAAAAAATGTTCAGAATTTGGTTGTGAATATGGAAAAATATGTTCATTAAAAACAAACCAGAAGTATTCCCAAGACCCAGTCCACCAAAATGTTTACCCAAGTATTTTCCATTGGTAATTTTTGCTAGGATTACCCGAGGAGTTTTCTTTAAATGCAGGCTTCTGATCCCACATTCCAGATGCCCTTCTCAACTTCATAGGCTTACAGAGCTCCATAGATCACTTCCGGCTTCCCTGAAGCCAGATCTATTTCCATCTCTAAAACTCCATGCTCCACTCAGAAACACAGTTTAGCTTTCTGTATATAGAGCACTATTTTTCTTCTCATCTCATTTATGTCTTTCTATAGCTACACAAGTTATTCATATTGATTCTTCTAATGACTCCATATGTGTGTATATGACATCCATGTGCATACATGTACTGGGCATATATATGTATCATAAATGTGTATTTTACCACATGAATTTACCACTTTTATATCTGCTTGGAAATAATTAGTCACTGAACCTGTTTGCAAATTTTAGGATTAATATATAATGTGGTGCTAGCATCTTTATGCAGTTTTTGCTCTTTTTAAAGTTCCTTGATGATACTTGTTCCCTAAAGAGTAGAAGGCTGGCATAGAGGGCATGAAATAATTTGGCAGACTACATCATTTCTTTAAGAAATACAAAGCTCATAATTTTCCTTCATGCTTAATAAGGTTTCTATATAACTTTCTTTTTTTTATTGTGAAAATACTGTACAGAGGGGTTACAATTACATGGGCAAGATAATGAGTACATTTCTTATCAAGCATTGTAGCCTCCTCCTTTGTTTCCCCTTCCCATCCCTTCCCATCTTCCCGCCGCCCCCCCCATCAATCCTCCTCCCCCCACCAAAGTTGTAAAGTTCATTTTTGACATAACGACTTGTACGTCTCAATGTTGCAATGGGTCCACCTGTATCCCTGTTAAACAATTTGTTTTTTCCCTTCCCCTTCACAAATTATACTGACATCAAATATAGTGAAAGCAGGGGTTATACTGTGGGGGAGGGACATACAAAGCAACAAAGAGATAATCTTATAAATACGTTAGAAACACATGCATGAAAGAAAAAAACATTAAAATACACATC